TTCTAGGAGAGAGAGAGACAGCGTGAGCAGGGGAGGGTCAGAGAGAGAGGGAGTCACAGACTGAAACAGGCTCCAGGCTCTGAGCTGGCAGGCAGCACAGAGCCCGACGCGGGGCTCGAACCCACGAACCGCAAGATCATGACCTAAGCGAAAGTCAGACGCTTAACCGACTAAGCCACCCAGGCGCCCCAGAAAGACTTTCTTTTAATACTCAAAAATTTCATAGATTTCTTCCTACCTCACTCAAGAGAATTTTTCAGTTTTTAGAGTTCAGTGTGGAGCAAGTGTATGAATTTGCTCATCTGTTGCTCTCTCAGAGGATGTCTGTTCTGGGGGAAAGGAGATGGTTATAGAGCTGCAATTAACTGAGGGCCCCAACTGCATGAAATTAGAAGTAAGGTGTAGGCAGGTAACAATAAGGAAGTTGGGACTTCATGGGATTTTAATTGATAATGACTTAATATAAGTGATTTTTATATACAAAATAAAAACTTAAAATAGGAACACACAAAGAACAATCTGAAGATTACCAAAGAAGGGTCTAGAAAAAAAAGGCATCTACCTAGCCCACCCAGAAATTTCCACAACTCTGCTATACCAACAGAAGTTGCATAAGTCATAAATTTATAATGTAACTCCAGGGGTGCTTGGGTGGCTCAGCGAGTTGAGCATTGGACTCTTGATGTCAGCTCAGGTCATGATCTCATGATTCTTGAGTTGGAGCCCCGGGACCAGCTCTGCGCTTACAGTGCAGAGCCTACTTGGGATTCTCTCTCTCTCTCTCTCTGCCCCTCCCCTGCTCACTCACTCTCTCTCTCAAAAATAAACATTTAATATAAAAAATAACAATAATGTAACTCCAGTATGCTGGTGAGAAAAAAAGACTATTTAGTAGCAGGTCTAATTACAGTCCAGCTTTAAACTTTTTAAATCTAAACTTCGTATGGCTTTCCACCTGCATAAAACACCAACCCTAAGAGCTACTTAAGTATGAAAATTTTCATTTTTCTTTCTTTCAAGAACAGCAAGGACACTGACACGAGATTCTGTTGCTTAGAACATTATTATAGAGTCTTTCTTTTTGGCTAATTTCATTAACAATTCAAATTGAGTACATAATTTTGAATTAACTATGCCCAAACCACAAGTATGGCTTATATATGGCTCCAGAGCCCACTTTTCATAACATTTTGATCACACACACACACACATACACGGCAGTAGCATCTGATTCTTCAACTACTTCATATATCAACCTACAGAGTTTAAGAAAAACCATACTGCTTAAAATATATATAAGTACAGGAGCCTGGGAAGGCCCATTCTTTAAACGAAGAAATTAATATTGATCAGTGTGCACGGAATAAGGATAAGGCAACAATACATATACCAAACCTGGCACTCTCCAGATTTGTGTATCTGTAAACCTAAGGCAGCCACAGAGGCCAGATGACTACTACTGCCAGCTCAGCAGCTGAGCTTGGAGAAAAGGCGGCATCCACACACAGGCCACGCTTGAGAACCAGAACTTGTGGCCAGTTTCGTCTGCTAGCGACTGGAGAACGTGGCAGTGATAAACCGGGAAAAGTCTGGCAGAAACAGGGTTATTGGCGGTAAAGGGAGCCTCCAGGGCTGCAATCCCGGAAGGGATAAAGCAGCCGCGGGAGGCTAACGCCCCTACCCCGGGGTTAAAAGAAACTAGGAGGGTTGGGAGGAGAGGGCTCGTCCTTTCCTTACCTTGTCATCCTCGCATCTTTTCCCCAGGCCCTCCCTGGCCTGCAGCCGGCTGCTCAGGCGGCCGTAGTCGGCCTCCTTCTGGTCGATCTGTTTCTTGTGCGAGTCCACCAAGAGCAGGAGGTCCGAATTGCGCTTCTCCAGGCGCCCACGGGCCACCTCGGTGCGCTGGACCTGGCCCTGCAGCTCCGCCACCTCCTCCTGAAGCAGGACGTGGCGGGAGGAGATACTCCAGTAGTTGAAGGCGAGGACTGCAATCACCACCAGCAGCACCACCAACACGAAGGAGGGCAGGCGGCCGGCCCGCCGGTTAGCCCCGAAACCCACCATGGGGTCCAACTAGCCTGTGCCCTGGGGCCTCGCCGCGGACACCTGCGGCCAGAATCTCAGGCCTCAGTATCTGAGTTGCCTGGGGGACGCGGCCCCAGGGCCGGCCGAAGGAGGAGGCGGGCCAATCTGCCTGCCTGCGAGCCGGAGAAGGGGGCGGGGCCGCAAGCCGCAGGCCCCTCCCCGCCCCCCCTCCTCAAATCAGGCCAAAGCGCCTTCCCAAGGCTTTGAAAACGACCCGGCACAATCCGGGTGGAACCTGGAGAACCCAGCCGCCCGCACCCGAGGCCCAACACCTCAGGGGTGGGGGGCGGGGAAAGGTGCCGGAAGGGGGCGGATTTAACTCTGGCCCCGCCCATTGGCTGGGTCCGGGTCGCTTAGGGGGCCATTGCCTAGTTTCCGCCGACGCCCCCTCTTCTCGCGAGAAAATGAGTTTCTCTCGCCCTTTGCAGTCTTATCTCGCGAGTCTTATCTCTATTGAGAAGAGTGTTGTGTTAATTTTGGCGATTTTTTTAGCTCTTGTACCTGAATTCGAATCCCTTCAATTTTTACCCTCTAGATTTCCTTGACCCAAGGTTCATGGAGTGCCTACCCTACCCTGGCCCTTGTGAGAGTTTTTGTCTTTGAGGACATCTGCGGCTGCGACCGCTTTGTAGGGATAACGGGAGGTGAGATGCGGGCAGAAAGGGCAACTAGAAAGGCTTTGTACTTGATTCAGTAAAAAGATTATCTCGTTTGTGCTAACGATGTGGAGAGTAAACAGCAAAGACCATAAAATAGCGGGACCCCAAATATTACAGAGAAAAATCAAGAAAAACTAAGCTTTAGTAGTGCCAGCCAGGTTTCCAAGGTTACTCCTTGCACGGAAGGGAAGAACTTCAGGATGTGTGAGTTCTTAAACTTACTGCTGAGAAAGTCCAGAAGCTGCCTCAATGAATGATAAGTAGTGCTGTTACTGACAGCTAGCACAGAGTTAGAAATAATAACTCTTTTACAAATTATTTTTACATGCCTAGTCTCATGTTATCCTCAACAACACAGTTTTACAGATGAGGAATCCAAGACACATAGCTGTTCCAAAAACGTTCTCAAATTCCCATATCTTCTTTGAGAGTTAGACTTGGATTCAGATCACTGTTCCCTTAACTTCATTGCTCTTTGCATTATAGCAGGCTAACCATTGCTGTATGTTCGTCATTAATCACTGTGAGGAAGAAAAAGCCCCATCTCTTATTTTTTCTGCAGCTTTCCTTTGCCGTGGCATAAAAATTTTTGGAAGTTATTGGCTCTGCCCTGTTTAAGGAGAAGATAGTTGCTTTACTTTTCAAACTTCAGTTTCAAGACCTTTCCTGAGAATAAAATCTCAAGAATGAAAAAGCTTTGGTATTTTCATTCAGATCAGGGCAGGAAGACTTGTCATCTTTGAATAATTATTCTATGCATCCTGTCCTTTTCAGAAATGAAGTAACTTGCCTAATGGTCCCAGGGTAGCCTGGAAGAATTATTGCACCAAGAGAGATGACTTCTCTCTCATAGTTACATAAAAACAAGTAACACTAAAATTATTAATCTTTCGTTCACATCAGTCTTGAACTCTTTGCTCTGGCTTCATGAGATCACATAAATCCCCTCCACTCTCAAATGAGGAGCAGACTTTGGCAAAAGGTGGCAAAGCAAAAATTAGGAGATCATTGACTATAATGACCCTTACCAAGTATCCTTTCCTCAACTTCATAATGACCTTGGTTGGTGTAGCCTCAGCAGTTGAAAATTAACTATAAAATAGTGTTAACTGCTTAAGAAATTACTTTTGCAAAAATGTTTTCATTTTTATATGGAATTCTGACATAAAAATTTAATATTGTATGAAACACATTCAAATACATCTTGGAAACATGCTTAAAAGAACTATTTGTTTCTTAGTCCATTATTCCATTTTATAGATGCAAAAGTAATGTGCTTAAAGTGATACGCCTAGCAAGTGGCAGGGCTGAATCTTGAAAACCAATCTTCCTTTGACTCTTCCCCCAGGGAAAAGAATTTTTTATTCCATTTTGATGGTTATATCTTCAAGCTATTCTCACTACTTAAGGAGCCAAATCCACATATCATCAAGACAGTGTTTAAGTGCCCTTCTGTAGATGGTTCTGGATTAGGCATTGAACAAATGGAAGTAAAAGTCAATTCCTTAAGCCAGGTGATCAAGGTTAACAACAACATTGATAAGTCATGTTATTAGCATGTATCCTTGATATGATGTGATGAGAGTACTACTCTGTGGTTTTCCTCCCCAAAACTCCTAACTCTAGTCTAATCATTAGAAAAAAATATCACACAAATTCCAATTTCCTCAGTTGGACCAGTAATCCTACAAACTATTAAGGTCATCAAAAACAAGGAAAGTCTGGGAAACTTTCACAGGCAAAAGAAGCATAAAGAGACATAACTACTAAATGTAATGTGGGGGGCACCTGGGTGGCTCAGGTGGTTAAGCATCCAACTTTGGCTCAGGTCATGACCTCACAGTTTATGGGTTCGAATCCTACGTGGGGCTTTGTGCTGACAGCTCAGAGTCTGGATCCTGCTTCAGATTCTGTCTCCCTTTCTCTCTGCCCCTCCCCCTCTCGTGCTTTGTTTCTCTCTCAAAAATAAACATTAAAAAATTTTTTTGTAATGTAATGTGGTATCCTGGATAGGATAGGATCCTAGAACAGAAAAAGGACAGTAGGGGAAAATGAAGGACTTTTGAATAAAATATGAACTTTAGTTAATAATAATGCATTAATTGATTGTTATAGATGTACCATGCTCATATAGGGTGTTAATAGTGGGGGAGATTGGATGTGAGATATGTGAGAATTCTGTAATATTTTCATTATTTTTCTGTATTTCTAAAACTGCTCTAAAATAAAATTATTTTTCAAACACCAGTTTCTGTCTTTTGAGATATCTTTTAGGTTATTATGTATAGACATAAATAACATCACATATCTGAAAAGGCAGTATAATCACAGAGAAATAATGTTTCAAGATTTATTTGCAGGGTAAGCATCTATTAGAAAGTGGCAAGTGAGGTCGAATAACAGGAATTTTGTGTTTATTTTTTTTAAACTAGGTTTTTAAAAAGTTTTTGTAACATTTATTCATTTTTGAGAGAAAGACTGCGAGTGGTGTGAGTGGGGAAGAGGCAGAGAGAGAGGGAGACACAGAATCTGAAGCAGGCTCCAGGCTCTGAGCTGTCAGCACAGAACAGAGCCTGACGCAGGGCTCAAACCCATAAGTGGAGAGATCATGACCTGAGCTGAAATCAGATGTTTAACCGACTGAGCCACTTAGGCACCCCAGGAATTTTGTGTTTAAGTGGAATTTTCTTTAAGGGCAAAAATCATGTCATCTCTTTCTCTTGTGCAATCCAGACCTGTTTTTGAGCTCAGAACACTATTTGGCATATGCCTTCAGTTTATGTTGACTCAAAATATTTTATATGCTGCAACTGAGCAGAGGAGTGGATTATTATAGCGCTTGTTCCTCAATATTTTTTTTTAAGAGTTTACTTTTAAGCAATCTCTATACCCAACATGGGGCTTGACCTCACAACCTCGAGATCAAGAGTCACATGTTCTACCAACTAAGCCATCGAAGCACCTCATTATTCCTCAATATTTATGACATTGGGTAGGACTAGGTTAGAGAAGGCAGCAGCTCATAGAAATACAAAATAGACAAATTTATTAGGCAAGTTCTTTGCATTGTAAATGGGGGAAAAACAACCAAAACTGGTTAAAGCAAAAAGTTATACATATCTTAGAAGCATACTAGAATAGTTCATGGTAATATTGGAAGAACAAGAGGAACTGGGATACCTACAGGGGACTCAATGCTTCCATGATTCAGTCTTTTTGTTTCTTCCCCCTTCTTGGCATTATTCTTTATTTCTTCTGATGGCGCGTTTCTTTGCAGACAGAAAATATGGCCCCAACATCCTCACAATCATATCCGGCTAGTTCCATGATCTGAAAAGCAAGGGAGGTCTGTCTTCTAGCTTTCAGTACAAAAATGATAGGGGAAGGATTCTGGTTGTCCAAGCCTGATCATTGCATGCAACTTATATCCATCACTGTGGCCAGGGAGAAAAAGTGTTATGATTGGTCCAGCATAAAACACTGCTGATGGCCAGTAGTCAGTCTGACACCAAGAAACAGAATAAAATGTTGACTCAAACAAATACAACTGAGTTTCTTTTTTCCTGAGATGTATTATCTTCCTTCCAATTAAGAACAGTTAATAAGTGAATAAAGACATTGTGTTGCAGGTTGGATTCCCCAGGAAACAGTCTCTGAGATGGAGATTCATAATGGAAAACATAATAAGAGGAAAACAGTACTGGCAGAGGGAGAGTTGGAATGCTATGCAGTCTCATTGAAAGCTTCAGCCAATGCCATGTACAGCTCTGAAGTTCTGTGGCCTTTCATAGTTGTCCTGAGTCGGAGGGGTCCAGACTTTTATATTCACACATCAACCAGGTTTTGGATAGTGAGGGAAAAAGGCTAGCAAGCAATGTGCTAACTCCAGTCAATTAATAACAATGCCTGAATTACTGTACTAAAAAAATTTGACAAAGTGTATCTGAGCTAAGTGAGGAAGAATGCTATGATCAATTAATAATTTGTCCACAGGCACAAGAAGGGGTATGATGTTATGCATGAGAGGTGGATGCTATGATGCACAACCCAGAACCCCTTTCAGGCATGAAGGACTTATTCCCCTAACTGCTGGGAGTGCTGCCAACAGAGAGCCTTTAGCTATCAGCCCTTTTCAGAACTGCTTCAGTTGAAGAGGACTACCTTGTGAACAGAATGCCCCGTTCCCATGGCAACCAACAATGAATACTGGTCAAGAGAACACACTTTTGTTAAGTTACTTCCCTACATCAAACCCATTTCCTATGGTTGTATAGATAGAGACAATATACTGTAGGGGTAATGTGGGCTCTGGAGTAAGAATGTGTGAGTTAAAAGTCTCTGTCTCTTATTAATTTTGTAACACAGGCAAGATACTTAACTTCAGTGCCCCAGGTTTCCCATTTCCAAAATGGCATATGAGTTAGGATTAAATTTGGCTCCATATAAGGGGTAGAAATAACTTGAACAAGATAGGATTTTTTTCCTCTCTTACATAAAATATATCTAGACACAAGCAATCCAAGACTGGTATGGCAAGCTCTTTCAAGCTCACTGCTGTCATCTTCACTTCCAAAGGTGACTTTCTTGATCCAGGAAGCAGAAAAGAAGGGCACCATCCC